AACATTTTTGCATCGTTTTTGAGGTCTTAAAATTAATATTCTCTGCAAAATTCAGCTTGTTCGTAATATTTTTATTGATTGAGTGGCATTTTCGTCTCTGCCGACCGGAGTAGTATTAATAATACCTAGTAATAGTAATATAAATAGTCATAAAGAATAGTGACGAATTATTTAGTGTCGTGGCGAACCGCTCTGCATTTTGCTATAGAGAAAAATTAATACAACGTCAGGATACAAGCTTCGCTGCAATAATAGATATTTATCTACTATTAATACAGAATGTAAATATTAAACTTGTATTTTTTATATGTATAATAACATGTATTATTTCCTTAAGGCCATTCCTCGCGATTCTGGGCATAACTAAATTCCAATGTAAAAGTTTATATCAAATAACGCAAAAACTATGGCAGATATTGAGATGATTCTTTTTTTATATGAAAGGTCTTAAAAAGTTCTAGTGCACTATTTGGTTGTAAATTAATAAATTGTTTAAACAATATTTTTTTTTTTAAATATTTTTGGTTAAAATAAACGTAAAAATTTTTTTCTTGAAATAGGGCACTACAGAATTTTACCCACTTTCCGAATCTGTTTTTATTTTTAACATAAAGTGTAACAAGAAGCAGCTATTTCATATAAACTATTTAAAAAATGTTAAATTGTGCTAAATGTACTCTCTCTCTCGGTCAGTATAAGCTGTCCTTGTTGATAGTTTCTGGACTTTCGCCGACGAGTAGGTAAGAAAGTTGGAGGGTCATAAATAATGTTGAATAACATTATTAGGGCTTATTTCGACTTTTGACTAGTTTTTACAAACCAGTGTGTTTTGTTGTTTTTAAAATGGGTAGTTCGCGAAGACTTTTATGTTCCGGACGAAAAGGTCGACGACGATTGAGGAAATTTTATATACATAAGCAGTAAGTACCTATAATTTGATTAAATTTTTATATGAATAGAAATATTTTCTATTGTTTGTGACATTTTCTTTGTAAATGTTTATACTGTTTTTATAATAATACTATTGTTTCAGTATTTATTTATAGAATTATAATTTATTTTGTAGAAACAGAGTAGAATTTTGGTCAATCGGTCAGTACATTTTTTTGTATTTCAATCAGAATTATTATTTTCTTTTCTTCTTTACATAAACTCACAGTAATACCCAAATATTTTGCAGTATTTGAATATGAAATTTGATTAATTATATTTATTGGACTATTTATTTTGAACGTTTTTGTTAGTAAAGTTTACATAATATATGAAGTTTGTTTCGTCACTTGCTTGTCCAGTCATATTAGTCCAGAGTAATAAGGATTTTCTCGTGACAATCAATAATCCAGGTAGCTGACAACTATTTTAGTTATTGTAGACATATAAGAACAAAACCTACCTGTTTCCTGCCTAAAGTTCGGAGCCGTTTTTTAATGATTTAATGTAATGCAAGAAACGCGATTTTTTCCACTCCATTAGAAAGCTAAATACTTGACATAAAATTACAAAATTTTATTTTTTAGAATATTGACAAAGCTTCAAAATGCTGATTTTTGTAAGTTGAAAAGTCAATTTGTTGCTTTGCAAACTGCAAAATAAGTGACAATTGATATTTGTTAAAAACTTTGAATACAACAACTTTACTATAGAGTTCCAGCGATGGTTGGGTATTGGGATACTTAACAAACCCTCAAAATTTGGAACCGATATATTAATTAGTTTAAAAGTTATTGTATTTGTTTATCCCAGAGATCTTTTTTACAATAAAATAAGACAGAAAATAATAAAGATAGGGTAATGCTGTGGGCGACAAATGAAAGCAAAAGATACTATCAATATGTATTAAAAAATTATTAAAAAATGATTTATCATAATCAAAAATCCTGATGCAAAATTTTTGAAATTATGTAGTTTATAAACATTTAGAACTTTAAAAAACCATGTCCTTAGAAGAAATCTTTTTTTACATTCGAAAAGCTAGTATTTTCCCCGAATTTTCAAATAAAAAAATTTGACCTAGGTTATTTTGGGCCAAAGTTAGCCATGTTTTTTTTGTTAATTCACAGCTAATTTGATTATAATATTTAAGAAACCTCTTTGACGCCATGATAAAGAATGGGATTTGTATTTTTTAATAAAAAATTTGCACAAATGTTGTACCTTTACGAATTTTAAAAATGTAGTTCAAGAACTACATTTAAGGAATCCAATTAGGAAGAACCTACAAATTCATGGAGTACCAATCCATACCGACCAAACAATTTCAAACTAATAAAATTTTCTATATCTCCGGTTCTACTCAATGGATTTTGATCATTCTTTTTTAATATGTATGTAATTTCTACGTACATTACAAATATGTAATTTGTTTATATATTTATTAATTAATTCATTATCTAGTTTGTTTAAACAATTAAATGTGGATAGTGAAAAAATAATTTTCTTCCAAAAATCTATTTTTTTAACACTGTTATCATTAATAATCATAGTAAAGATTGCGTTTTTTGCCTTAAATTGTTAATAATTAAAAAATGGCTCGAAATTCAAGGCAGGAAACAAGTAGGTTTTCTTCCTATAGGTCTACAATAACTAAAAAAGTGGTCAGTGACCTGGATTATTGAGTGTCACGAACATGGTCTATTTTTTGCTTATTTCCCTGGAGTAGGTATATATTTGATAAAGATCTGTGTAATTTCTCTGTCGCTTCCTGGCTGGTTTTGCATATTGCTATGATAGAAGTGTCATCGGTAAATGTTTCAATTGTATTATTTTCTAGGACAATAATATAATACGTATACAAAAGGTATACAAAAGACACTTCTTTGTGGCAGCCCTGCTGTAATTTCTTTCAGTTCCGTTTATGTATATTCCTGTTTAATTCTGAAATATCTTTCCAAGATGCAGGATTCAATAATTTGAGAGTATCGTTTTGGTAAATATAGTCTTAATTTATAGTTATGGCATCTTTGCCATACTTTATCATATATCTGAGTCACAACCTAAATTGTCCATCATACTATCCTTCATGATCCATGTTTTACATCCATATAGTAATACAGTATATTTACATATAACAAATTAAATCCTTAGTTGTAAATTTTTGAAATAAGTACTCAGTATACATCTAAGTTTCATAAATGCTTCTCATAAATCTCATAAATCTAAACTTTTGTAATCCGTTGTTTGTTGACAATTAGTTGCATGGGGCCGTCTTGTTTACTAACCACAAGTAAATTATCTTATTTCTTTCATTTGACAATAATAATTGTCTGTTAGATTAGTATTATAATAAGTAAATTAGTCTCTTATTGAATGATAATAAACAACACAGCAAACGTATTCTGAAACTATTTCTTGCGTCATGTTATATTTTATTAGATTTTGGTGTAATAAACCACAGCCTATCAAATTCAATATCAAAAATCAAAATTTGAAATGATAGCGTGACTAAATTATTTAAAAAATTTTAAATTTAAATTTAAAAAATTTTAATAATCAAAGTGTTTTCATGTAGATCATTACTTCAAAATTAACTAATCTTTTAAATTTTTGTTAAATGTTGTTTTGTGAAGAACTGTTGTTGTTGTTTTATGTTATTCAAGATGTCAACAGCCTTTTACTATTTTTAATTTTATGTAAATTAACCAACATTTTTTTATAATTTAAATGTTGGTAAGCCTTTTATTATTTTTTGTTATACCTACTCATTTAAATTTTTTTCTACTTTTAAAATTTTCTTCTCTGCATTCAATCTTCTTTTGCATT